AATGATGCTACAAATCACCTAAACATACTACACATTTTTCAGAAGTAACTTAATGTAACATATAATAATATAATGTAAAGCTCAACAACCTCAGAATATAGTGTAATTTTAAATGTTTCTGTGTGTTATAGAAAGCCTTATAGGACGTTACAATTTCTTGCAAATCAGGAACTCAATTTCTACCTTCAATATAGATATATGGAAATAGAAGGGGAAAGCAGTAATACAGGAGATTAGTATTTTACATATATGAATATTTGAACTTTGTCATGTTGATTAAATAAACGTTTGCTTTTTGTAAGTAATACGTTTATCCTGCCAAATAAGTACAATGTATTGTCAGCCTGGTGAGGAAGAGTTTATTGACACATAACAGGAGGCATAATACAGGAGTTGAAATCAAGTTCTTAGGAAATGATATATGTTTAATTGTTTTTTGTTGTTTTTGTTGTCATGAAGCAACAAACTGTGATTATTCATGGATGGAGTTTAGCACTGTAATCAAACAGAATTTACAACAAAGTTAATCTGATGATACATATTTGATGCTATGCATTATCGATGTGCTACATGATAATTAGACATAAGTGGTAAACACCTCATATGAATGCCAAATTGATGTTACTTTTACATCACTGAAGCAAACATTTCTGGTACAGGAGGGAAAAAGAGGTACTGGAGATCCTAGACCATTCTGCATGAGAGAAGCAGTCTTTTGAGGAACTGAAAAGTGTTAGTTTATTATCAAAATATCCTCAGACATTTGATTCATATATGTAATAGAAGTATTACCTTAATAACCCAGGTGACTGATAATTAGTATTTCATACAATTATGATTATAATGTACACATTATTTTTTTCTGTAAGTAGAAAATGAGAGAAGCGGTTTTGATTGAGCAGGCTACACAATGAGAAAAAAAACTTTCTCTATGACATAAAGAGTAAACTGGCCTTTCAAAAGCATCCTAGCAAATAGAAAGCATTTGAGAAAAACACAAACTGCCCAGCCTGGAGCAATGGCTCAGTGGATTAGACACACATATCTTGAAAACCGGCTGTATATAATGGATGATCATAAATGAGAATCTCTAATCTGTACTTCTTAAAATATTGGAATCCTGACGTTATCAGCAATTGACAATGGAAAGGCGTGCAACTAAAAAGTTATTGTACATCAAAGTACACCATCATTCCAGTGTAGATGTAATCTACATGATGGTAAAGAATTCTTTACCAACTACACCCCTGATACCTCTGATTGAGGGTTAGGATCTAGAGTATACAAAGAACTCAAAAAACTCAACAACAACAAAAATCAAACAACTCAATTAAAAAGTGGGGCAAGGAATTGAATAGGGAGTTTTTTAAAGATGAAACACAAATGGCTGAGAAATACTGTTAAATTTACTCATCGGGGAAATGTAGACTAAAATCACTTTAAGACTTCATCTTACCCTTCTGAAAAATGTTGAAGATGGAAAAACAAAACAAAAGAAAACAAAGCGATAATGCTGATGAGGATGTGGATAAAGGGGAACTTATACTCACTGCTAGTGGGAGTGCAAACTGGTGCAACCACTATGGAAATCAGTGTAAAGATTCCTCAGGAAAATTGGAATTGATCTACCAGGTGATCCAGCTACTCCACCTTGGGCATATAGTGAAAGGACTCTATACCTGCTAAAGAAATACCTCTTCATCCATGTTCATTGCTGTTCTTTTCATAATAGCCAGAGTTTGGAAAAAACCTAGATGTCCCTCAACTTTTGAATAGATAATGGAGGTGTGGTACATACAATAGAATATTATTCGATTCTTTAAACAACAAAATTGTGAAATTCATGGGTAAATTGATGGAACTGGAAAAAAAAATCATTGCACCAGTGAGGAAACCCAGACTCGGAAAGACAAATTTCACATGTTCTCCTTCAAAGCTGGATGCAAGCTTGGAAATCTTAAATGTGTGTGTTTCAATTGGAAAATTCTGAGACATTAAGAAACCTGAATAGTTATGGGTGGGTGGAGGGGAGGCTTCCTGGGAAGGGTGGTAAAAAGCTGTGATATAATGGGGGGCGGGGAACATTAGATGAAGAGAGGTTAAAGGTGGTAGGGAATGGGAGGGCAGGGCAGAGAAGGATAAGGAGGGATAAGTAACACCAAAGAGTTTTAGAAAAATAATATTGAAACACACCCATTAAAGAAGCTTCTTAAAGTATATACATATACATCATAAAAAGAGATTAAAAGGATTTATCCTATAACAGGGGAACATCGCCCTTTCTAGACATAACAGGCTAATGAGATAAAAGGGGGAAAAAAAAAAGTATATACATATACATCATAAAAAGAGATTAAAAGGATTTATCCTATAACAGGGGAACATCGCCCTTTCTAGACATAACAGGCTAATGAGATAAAAGGGGGAAAAAAAGATGCCAGGAATGGACTCTCTCTCCAGAAGCTGTTAACCAGGGGTCTCATAGACACTCAAACAATGCTGATAATTGCCGCTGCTCTTGGTTACCCATAAGAACTGGATGGTAAGACCATGTTACTGAAGACATCACATACATGAGTTGTAGAACGAACAAGGCAAAATCAACCTGAAGTTGATTTCAGAGGCTTATCTCTACTGGCTAGGATTAATAGTGCTAGTAGGTGCTATGTGAGCTACCTGAAGGAAAAAAAATCATTTTTATCCACCTGTGAATCCTGTGAACTACAGTATCAAGTAGTTTGGCAATATACGCTCACCATGCTATAGTGGAACAAATATTATTTGAGTAACCAACCAGTCTTTAATTGAATTTAAGGCCCATTTCCTAGGATGGACCCTCTACCTGACGTTGATATCAGGCTTAGAAACCTGGGGTTAAACAGTTCACAAGATATAGGGGAGAACATAATACTGGTTTTCTACTAAATAGCCATCATACTAAAATGACTTTTTGTTATGCCCATAGATTAATGCACCACTCAACTCTCACCAGCGAAGTTTCCTTCTGCAGCAGATAGTAACACAGAAACCCACAGCTGCCCAACATGCAGAGAACAAGTGGCTGCAGAGTGCTTTTCCGTGAATAGGACACCTATATCAAATATCTGCCCCCCAGGGCTCACGGATTATTGTGGAAAAGGAGGTTCCTTTTCGTATTTTAAAATTAAATCCCACAATCAAAGAAGGGAAACTAAATCTCATTTAGTTTCATGCCTTGCTCATTTTTATTATCCTTCAAACTATCCTGGAACTAAGACAGGAAGGATAAATGTGACCAGCTCCTCATTTTAGCTCAGGAACTGTGGAGATACTTGTGGCCCAGAAGGGTAAGAGGAAATAAAAAATTTATTCCACAAGAGAACTTATATGAAAGTGTGACATTTATAAATATTGGAATGTCTTGATCCCAAAAAGCCTGAATAAATTCATCAACTCTTAATTCTATATCAAATAAGCATGCTGAGATTTATAACATACATGAGGTAAACAGTAGTACATGCTTATATCTTCCATAGAAACATGACTTGTGCAATTTATCAACAGAAGTTCTCTAAAAATTATAGCGGGTATCAAAGGGCAATGGCAAAGTTATGTAAAATAAACTTCTTGATATCTGTTTTCTTTTTTAGACAGGGTTTCACAAATCCCAGATTGGTCTTGAACTTCCTATGTAGGTAAAGCTGGCCTTGAAATCCTGATCTTTCTGCCCCACACATGACTGCTGTGATTACAAGAATGAGTAAGCATCCTGTGGTGCTGGGGATTGAACCAAGGGCTGCTTGTCAGCTAGGTAAACACTGACAAATGAGCTACATTCTCAGCTACTGACATATTCTGAAAATTAAAACAAATAGACTGAAAAGGAAAAGACAAACCAGGCCTGGTGATGAATGTTCTCGACCCCCTCCCAGAAAAGAAAGAAAGTAAAAAAGACAACAGAAAAAAACAAAATTAAAATGTCTAAACCCTTTGAAAACAACAGCAACAAGCACAGAGCTAGGAATGGTGGAAGCACCTTTAACATGTGCACACAAGAGGTAGAGGCAGGTGGATAACTTTTAAGTTCCAGGCAAGCTTGGTCTACATAGGGAGTTCAAGGCCATCCAGGGATGTATAGAGAGACCCTGCTTCACAAGAAATAAAAAAAAATCTTTGCAATTTTGCTTTCCAAAATTAAACCAGACAAAGACAGACATACCAATAATTCAAATAATATTACAGTATATCTATATAGTGCTTTATTCTACAAAGAACTTGGATTCGATTCTTGGAATGACCCTGTAATTTCTGATAAGACAGAGGTTAGGAAAGCTTTAAGAAAGCTTTAGCTAGTCCAAAGTAAGCAGATAAATAATATAAATCCTTTAGAATCAAGAAGAGATATTGTTTTGAATTTCAGGTCTGCTACTATTGAAACTAATGCCTGATACTGAATAATCTTCCTAAAGTTCAGGTTCTGTTTTTGAAAAAAGGAGTA